AAAGCATGCTGAAACCAAATCAAAGTATTATACTAAAGCATGCTGAAACCAAATCAAAGTATTATACTCAAGCATGCTAAAATCAATTGAAATATCCTCAAGCATGATGAAATCAAGTCAATCCTCAAGCATACTGAGATCAAATCAAAGTATTATATTCAAGCATGCTAAAATCATATCAAAGTATTATACTCAAGCATGATGAAATTAATTCAAAGTATTATACTCACGTATGCTGAAATCAAATCAAAGTGTTATACTCAAGCATGATGAAATCAATTCAAAGTAATATACTCAAGCATGCTGAAACCAAATCAAAGTATTATCCTCAAGCATGCTGAAACCAAATCAAAGTATTATACTCAAGCATGCTGAAACCAAATCAAAGTATTATACTCATGCATGCTAAAATCAAGTCAATCCTCAAGCATGCTGAAATCAAATCAAAGTATTATACTCAAGCATGATAAAATAAATTGAAATATCCTCAAGCATGCTAAAATCAGATCAAAGTATTATACTCAACCATGCTGAAATCCAATCTAAGTATTATCCTCAAGCATGCTAAAACCAAATCAAACTATTATCCTCTAGCATGATGAAATCCAATCAAACTATTATCCTCAAGCATGATGAAATCAAATCAAAGTATTATCTTCAAGCATATCAATATAAAATCAATCCTCAAGCATGCTGAAATAAAATCAAAATACTATTCTCAAACATGGTAAAATCACGTCAAAGTATGATTCTTAAGGATGTTGAAATTAAATCAAAAGTATATCCTCAAACATGATGAAATTAAATCAATCCTCATGCACGTTGAAATCAAGTCAATGTGTATTCTCAAGCATGGTGAAATAAAAGGAAAGTGTTATTCTCAAACATGATGTTACCGTCAAAAATGCTGAAATTAAAACCATGTGTTCAAAATCACTTAACTAAATTCAAGTGTTGATATCTTCAAACAAAATACACTAATAAGTACGCTTAGATGCAAATGATGAGAAATAACACAGGCCTACGAATTGAAACTTCATAAAAGTTGTTTTGGTTTTAATAACGGGGTTTCCATAATTCAGCTACGAAGATTTCGAAAATAATATTCTTTTTTTTTTCTATCACGTAAGAATTTTTTTACAAATCGGGAAGAAAAAAAACTCTTACTTAGATCAAATTATTACTTCATTTACCACAATGAACATTTTTTATTATTATGTTTGTTAACAAAGATACAAAGAAACTGAAGAAAAGGGGAGAACATTGATGTCAAACAAATATGCATCTTCATTCGTCCTGATTTTTGTGTGTGAAATCTACGTATTTTAGTCTCAAAACTACGTCTTTCTTTTACGTATTGTATTATGACGTTTTGTGAAAAATCTGTACGTGATGGAGAAAAATGGATATCGTTTTCGGATTGAGCCTACATGATATTATTGTAAAACATGTAAAAATTTCAATACAATAAAACCATCGCAGGCCTATGTAATTAAATCACCACTTGAACATCATACAGTTAGTTATCAATGTGTTCAAATACGACGGACAATCTTTTAAGTTTACATTTTGACAAATACGCAAAAAAAACAAAAAACAGTAAAATACCTTAGTAAGAACTCAGCGGACAACTTCTCAGTAAAGGTAGTGTATTACCTTTATACTTATCTGAAGTTCTTATAGAAATTCATTCTAAATATTTGTTTGTTATTAAGCTATGTTATTATGTTATGAGATATTTGTGTTGTACCCGCCACGTATTTATTTGTAGCTAATGTTTTGTAATCTCATATAAGATCTGTACTCTAAAGAGTACTAATGTTAGGTTATTCAATATATAAGTAAACATGAAAAAAAATTAAAATTTTGGTGAATTAACACGAAGCTGTTGAAATCAAAAAAAAAAAAGAAAGATACAAACATCATTAATAATGACGGCGCTTTACGACATACTTTCTTTTTGCGTGCGAAACACAACAACAGTAAATTCCATGAAAAAAAAAACGATGGTCACTCACTTGGAAAACTTGCCAATCTCTGCCCAGCTAAGCCTAACATGGCTGACGTCGGGATTTAATCCCACCCGATACTCTCTATTACAGATATATTTTCATTCCAAAGAGTGAAAAAATAATTTAAGCTATACTTTATTGTTAACATTTGGTCAGTACAAAGATTAAACAAATTATAAATATCATTATTTCAATTACATTTAACAAATTATTTTTTTCCGTCCAAGAAAAGTATGCATCGTTATTATTATTTAATTTCACGTTCACACACAGTTTTAGTGTTTAAAGATGTTTTATAAGAAGATACGTGTTATTATGAGTAGCTAATACACAGAAACACGTTGTCTTGATAGTTCATCCTAAAGATGTGATCTGATGAGGAATTTGGTTATACTGTGTAACGTGATGTTACTTTCACAAGCAAGACACAAAGTTTAATACAGCTATAAGCAATAAGAATACATACTTGTGATTGGACGTTCGCTCCCATGGAGGAGACTGGTTGATAGGAGTCGCCACCGTTCATACTCATGTTGTAAAGACCATCATTAGGAGGCGCTGCCCCAGGTGGAGGTGGAGGACTTATCATCTGCCCCTGTGTGGTTGGCCCCATACTATAAACCCCAGGGCCGGATGCTAGGGAAACAGATTCTTTTCATTACACGATTCATGAAATCGTAAACAATGACCAGTTCGTTATGTCGCAAATACAGGAAATAAATAGTTATAATTTTGAAGGGAATTAATTATAAAAAGTATAAAAGAGTCGACAGATGGCATTACAAAGGGAAAGCTTGTTTGTTTGTGTTTTTAAGTTTCGCGCAAAGCTACACGAGGGCTATCTGCGCTAGCCGTCCCTAATGTAGCAGTGAAAGACTAGAGGGAAGGCAGCTAGTCATCACCGCCCACCGCCAACTCTTAGGCTACTCTTTTACCAGCGAATAGTGGGATTGGCCATAACATTATAACGCCCCCACGGCCATGGGAAAGCACTGCTAATTAAAAATGACTACAAATTAAGGTAGGTTTATGATTAATTTCTAAAAGGAAACTTTCAACGAAAACTGACTAATGATCAAGGAACTCACTGCACTAGTTTTTCTTGACGAAGGAAGATAAACAACAACAACAAAAAAGTATGTATAATACTAAAAACCCTTACCGTGAAACTACGTTATTCTAGATATGTTTTTCAGTAAGCTTAACTTTTTAATAATTTCTTATTTCTCAGAAACGGTTGACAAATCTCTTAACAAAAAAATAAACTCGAAAATTTTGAGACGAATGTTATAAGCGCAGATAACACCCTGTTTCTATTAACTGCTTAACATGTTTCAAATGAAATACTAGCTGTATAAAATCAAATAATCGTGTATCGATGTAGCAATTCATCGAAACAATCTATAAATGTTATTTAGCAAAATGAATTGTTCGTTGCATTGCTCCTGAGAAGAAACAAGTTTTAAAATACCTAAAGTGTACGTAACTATATAAAGGTGAGATGACTTTAAAATGTTTATAAGTTCTTTCATGTGACAACCAATATTATTACAAGAGAGTACTAAATATACAATAAAATATAATTAAAAGTAACAAAAATCACTGTGGCCTCTTATATTCATTTCTGGAATTGACCAAAAATATCTGAAGTTCGAAACATCTAAACAACTCATTTAATGTTAAAAGTACGTACCCAGGATCCGGGCATAATAACGAATACAAGAGCGGATTAAGTATGGCATAGCATGACCTTGTTTGATTAAACATATTCGTACGTTAAGAATATAGTTTTTCTTAAAACACGTACTGATAGAATAAGTACCGTATAGTTATCATCTCGCGACATTGTTCCTTCGGCTGGTTAAGTAAACAGGAGTCAAAAAAATTTTGAATATTCGACCAATTGGTTTTGACCTTAGTGATACTGTTTGTTTTTGCACAAAATTACACAATAAGCTAGGCTATCTGCGCTTTATCTCCGCGTGGAATCGAACCCCGGAATTTAGTGTTGTAATTCCGCAAAATTACTTGTGGACCATCAGGGGACCATTGCTGATATACACGATCGAAATGTCTAAACTCTGAAGCACGACACATTATTTTCACATTTATTTCGAGTACTTTATGTAGACGACGAGTCACGTATTTAGTTATACAAGAAAGAAACAAACAAACACTATAAACGTTTATGTAAATCACAATCGTGTGATTATTCTGCAATTTTTTCTGTATCCAACCCACAGTGTTCCATCTATTTAAGTACACCTTTTTGTTTAAACTTGAACGATGAAGATAAAATATCCGTCAGTTTCGTAAGTATAACTTGGAAGTTAAAAAAAAAATTAATCACTTAGTCTATTACTTGCATGGTAAAATGACAATTTACTCACTCATTAAAAACCCTAAGGTCTTCATAAAGTTTTATAAAAACTGTTTTTAAAACTCATGAGAGAAGTGAACAGTGCAGTAAAAGGCCCAGATCCCGTTAACGCGAGTTTAATGACCCACAGCTTTCTAGGCGTTTTTCACAAAACTAACTTGCTTTCAACCACCTGATGAACCCCCTGCCCCCTTTCCCCGTAACTGTAAAGATCGAAAATCTGTGGACTATTAAAGAGTAGTTAGTGTAAAGGAAAGAGGGTTGAAGAGAGCTTCCATCAACGGTACCATGTCAAACTGGTTGAATGTTGTTTTCTGAATTATATATATATATATACACATACAAGTACAAAAAAATTGATCTTGCTGTCAGTAAAACTCCAAATTCTGCTCTTAATTGATACGTTCGTCCTCTGGTGATTAGTTTTATGTCTGATTAATGCACACGCTGTTAGCGATAAGTCAACAAACTTTGTTTAAAGAGGAAAAAAAGTGAAAACAGAGCACACGCTAACAAGCAGTAGTGAATTTCTACATTTACGTAGGAGTTTCATTTCACAAAAGGCTTGGGAAGGGGGGGGCAAAGAAGGCTCATCTCTCGTGGGCCCCAATTCGGTTAGTGGCACAACGCTATGGAGTAATTTGCATATGTGTTTCAATCCGGATTGACTTGAACTATCTCACAGAAACTGCCATTTGCCTCCCCCCCCCACACACAGCTTGAGGGACACACTCATCGCCCCCCTCTCCCAATGATGCCCCTGCATATATGGAACCAGAAAGAAGAATACCTCATGTTATTTAGGTAAAAAGATTTCTTTTGCTCCATTATACAAGTTCATGTAATGACAATTAGAAACTTCTACAGCATATTATACAATAGTTAAAAATACATAATATATAAATACAAAACTGAATAACAGAAGCCAGAAATATGCTATATGGTACCATTGCATGCATTCCTTTCTTATGCTTTGTCTTGAATCCTGATCTTAAATAGCTAAACATGAAATATACGATCACTGTACCTACAAAATAGCTAAGGTATTCTTTACACGAGAATTCTGAAGTCAATCTATTGCATGTTTTTGTTTGTTTGTTTATTTTTTTCGAAGCAATCTCTGGTAAAATACGAAATTCTGATACGTGCGGAAACTTTTTTTTTTTTACCTGACATTGTGAGCACGTGGGCTAAATAACTAAGTCAGAGATCATCCCTAGGATTCAGGTATAGCTATTCCTAGTATCGAACTACTAATAATAGGGCTAACTACCACTTTTATAACACACCTACATCGAAAAATGTAGAGCGTGTTCAGCAATATCATGTCTCGAACTTTGGACCGCTCGATCTGCAATTCGACACGCTAATAACTAGACATAAAAATGAAATATCGTTATTAAAACAATTATAATATGTATATATATATATAAACTATAGATGTCCACCTTGAAAAACTGTGGTTCAGTGATACTGAAAAGATGGTTTATTTGCTCGATCTTAAATTCTACTTACAAGGTACAGAGTAACATCCGTGTTGTCTTATTGAATAATTTTAAAAGCATAACGCATTTTAAATTAGTTTCTTCACGTTTATCTTCACAGTTCACAATTTTTCTGATACTCTAATGGTTTTAATGCGAAATCTTACAATGTCAATTTTATTTCAATCAACTATGCAGCTCTCGATTTAAAATGGTTGGCAAAATTTCTGTTAGCTTGGTTAGCAGGAAAGGTTTCCCATTTTCGGGATTGGATTTTTCCTCCCCTTTCAATCTCGTATGACAATCATTCCTTACTGGAACTTTATCCCCCCCCATTATTCTAAAGTTTTTTCCCCTTTCATAGGGTGTCTGGGCTGAAGAAATATTGGAAAGTCGGAGCCATCAAGAAATGAAATGGAAATGAAGGGAGTAGACAGGTTTAATACACGAGAAATGCGAAATATTGGAGCCACTCTGTTGACGAACTTTGGGGTATGTGTACATATAAAAAAAGGAAGATGAAAAGAGAGAGAGAGAGAGAGAGAAAAAAAACACTAAACAAAAACGAAAGAAAAAAAACTGCTCCAATATCTTCAATGGCTGTCCATAGCGTGGTCAAACCCGATAAAGGGGTGGAAGGGTTGTGGATGGTACATAACATAATATCTGAATAGCGTAGATCCATCCAAAGTGTCAAAAACTTTGATGTATTAATACCATTCCATTTCTTTGTGTCAGAGTTAGATAAATGGTTCAGCTCGGAAGCAATGCTTAGGGGTAGAAAAGCAACATGAAATAAAACGATCCCATAAATATATGCCGACTGAATACAATAGCAGTCTTTAATACGCCTTGCTCTCTGGCAAATATTCTTGTTATGACTGTGCACGTTCGCTCGAAGAAGGGATGTCAGCTATGAATTTAACACCGACTGACTTCCGACAATGTGGAGAAACCATCACACTTTCATCGTCCCACGCTGTGGGGTGGCCAAGTTTGAAGTGGTGCGTGACTTCTAAAATTTACATGTCTACATTGGCTACGAGCTATAAATGACAATATATTCTGGAAATGGCGACCAATATGGCTTGCGAGGCTTAGAATGATGGGGACATAAACGTAAACTCTCCTATCATCGGGTCATAAGGCTACAGGAATTGCTGTAGTTGAACAAGGGCTTATGGGGATATACGTACCCCAACAAACATACACGTATTCCTCTTGTAAATGCTCTACTATTGTAGATAAAAATGAGTGAATTGTTGTCAGGATAGAGAACTCCATAAATTCTCGAATACAGTGTGCGGAACCAGGTCACTTTCCTATCTAATATTAATCGGTAAATTACACCTTGTAAATAAAAATATTTTACATTTGTAGAATAAAACTTTTGACACATGCTGCATACCATTGGTAAGGATTGCCGTTTTTCTTAAATTTTTATTAGAAATTTGATGCGCTTTATATAAGAAGGCAACTGAAACTATGTTATTTCACTATCTCTTCCTGAAATAAAAATCATCGAAAATTTCACTTTATTTCCAAAAAAAGTTTGCAAAGCGAAACAAGTGCTATCTGTGCTAAACGTTCCTAGTTTTATAATGATACACTGGAGAGATTGGAGCAAATTAACAGCGCCCACCGCCAGCTTTCGTTAGTATTTTGCGACGACCACAAGTTGCAGAGCGTGATTTGGCGGCAACAGGACACGAATCACAAATTCTTCGATTCACAATTTCGCACGCTAACCACTGGCCACGCCTGACTCTCGA